AAATAAACTTCTTTTGTGACATTTTCCTCTTTGTTAAAGAAATGCGGTGGTATGACATCACCCTCACTGGATACAACACCTAATACGTAAACATTTGCCGGAAAAAACCTTCGTTGGACTTGTTCGACTCATTGTACTTTGCGATGACATCATACACAGTCGATCTCGGGTACCCGAAGAACCGAATGATTTCTGTCGCCGAGCGCCCAGCGCGAACACTTTCGATAATCGCGGCTCTTCGGTTATACTCCGCACTTGGTTTCAACATTGGGACTATTTCGAGGTTATGATGGTTTAGTACATACGTCAAGCCATTTGAACGCTAATCGCGACATCTACCAGTGGTATAGAACGGCGAGAATTTCAAATTGAATTTTGTCCGGATTTTGGCGCCGTACCCTGTACTCGGCGGCTCTCGATTTCGGCACATACGCCGTTCCCCCACGTGAGGGAGTACTCGGCGGCGTCGCGAGTCGGCGGCGGTTTTGCCTTATTTATTTGGCGCTTTGCGCCTACTATATGACCTGACTGGTGTTCGGTCGGGTCGTCGTAACGAGGAGAAAATGTCTCGTCACAAAACTAAATATTTATATATTTAATATATTTACATATATATTAAATATAACTAAATATTTTATATAATATTTATAGTAAACAAAAAATAAATATTTGTAGTAATATTTTGTGTATGTGTAAATATTTCTGTAAATATTACATATGAAAAATAAATGTAATTATTTATAATTATTAAATTAATGAGGAAATAAGAAAATCGAAATTTAAATTGGTAATGTAGACACTGAAAAGAAATTCTTTAAATTAAAGAAATATATTTTGTTAAATATAATTTCTTAACTGAAAAAAATATTTGTTAAATTTTACAAAACATGTAATAAATATAAAGTAATATTTTTTAAATTTATAAAATGAGTTGTAAAATTATGAATTTCTAAATAAAAAAATTATTTATCTTTGATTTAAAATATTTATATATAAGAATAAGCAAATGAATTCCTTACAAGAAAAAAATTAGTTTTTTAAAACGTAAAAACTGTGTTTAAATAAATATTTGCTTGTTTTAAAAGTAAGTGAAATACAAGTAAATCATTTTATGAATCTAAGTGAATTATTTTCTAATATTAAATGTATGTTTCTTGTGTTTGAAATTAAAGTTTCTTTTATTATCAAAAAAAATTTATTTAAATGTACAAAATGATTTATTTGTATTTTACTCACTTTTAAAATAAATAAATATTTTTTAAACATACTTTTTAAACATACCTTTTATATTTAAAAGGATCAATTCTCTTCTTTTAAATAAATCATTTGTTTTCGTATATAGATATACCATATATATACAATACGAAGCGTTTCTTAGTCAAAGTGACAATGGTGCAGTGGATAAGGTAAACGACTGAAGAACCACAAGTCTTAGGTTCAAATCTCAGCAATGGTTAAGCAAATTTTCAAGGTACAATTTAAATCGAATTAAGTAGCATGTAAAACAATAAAATGAAAAATTTAAGAAAAATTCAGGAAAATAGAAAGAAAAATGTATATAAAAATTTTTTTGTGCTATCTGGGCAGTGTCGGACCAATACTGGTATGCCAACAATGGGCCGATTTCGGTGGCTAGTATTGGATCCACATTGACGTTAGTGTTGAGTCCTTCTTATCATTTGGACATTGCGTCGACGTCGAAGTTACGTTATAGCAGGGTTGGAAAGTAACGCGTTACTTGTAACGACGTTACTATTTCGTTACTTTTTTGTATCAGTAACGAAAATGAAACGGCGTTACATTTTCTTTAGTAACGAGTAACGAAATTCATCGTTACTTGTATCGTTACTTTTTTATTATAGTGGCTTCTGTATACAGAATGCGGCGACGCTTGCCACGCGACGAAAGTTTGCACACAATAAACAATTAAGGTGCTGCTTTCCGTAAAGCCCATTCTACAATAAGCAATAAATCTTAAGTCATAATAAAATTGACCAATCATAGTCGATTATTAGAGGAATAATCCACTGTAATTGGTCAATTTTATTGCAACTTATTGTTTATTGTAGAAAGCCTCTAAAGCGTGGTCTACAATGAGAACTTAAGCCATAAAATTTAAGCTTTAAACTCTAAGCCGTAAGAAATTGATCAGTCACAGTCAATTATTTTTCTTATAATCGACTGTGATTGGTCAACTTCTTACGGCTTAGGACTTAAAGCTTAAATTTTATGGCTTAAGTTCTCATTGTAGACCACGCTTAAGGGGGGCCGCACACGAATTGACGTAACAGTAACGTACCGTAAGAACTGACCAATCACTTTAAGTATCGTCGAACCGTAAGGTCACCATTTTTGTGAATACTCGATTGTAATTGATCCATTTTTACGGTACGTCTTACGTTACTGTTATGTCAATTCGTGTGCGGCGTTCCTAAAGCCCATTCTACATTACTCGCAATCGCAAAATCGCAAGGAAATTGACCAATCATAATTGATTATTCTTCGATCACAAAAAGAATAATCGACTATGATTAGTCAATTTCTTTGCGACGTTGCGATTTGCGACTAATGAAGAATGGGCTTCATGTCGTTATGCAAGAATGTATGCTTTCCGCTTAAATATCTTATATTTTGTCTTTATATATGTTATATATGTTATATATGTTATATATGTTATATATGTTATATATGTTATATATGTTATATATGTTATA